GCGACCCAGTATTGTTTTCTTGATGGAAACGTTAGCAGTTAAAAGTAAGATAGAGAGTTTACGAGTGCAGTTGGGTTTTGAGGGAATGCTGAATGTAGATCGTGAGGGTCGTGGTGGAGGCTTGGCTTTGTTATGGCGGGATGCTGACATGGTGAACCTCTTGAGCCTTTCCTTACACCATATTGACGTGGAGATATCTTTACCGGAGAAACCGTTGTGGCGTCTTACGGGCTTTTATGGACATTCTGATCAGTCCTTGAGGCACGAAACGTGGGATCTTCTATGACAGTTGCGTGATCAGTCATCGCTCCCTTGGGTGGTTCTCGGAGATTTCAACGACATCTCTTGTCAATCCGAGAAATGTGGTCTGCGTCTCCAATCGGCAACGCTCATCGATGGCTTTAATTCAGCTTTAAACGATTGTTCTTTAATGGACCTAGGGATGTCGGGTTCTCGTTACACATGGGAAAGAGGACGGGGAACGGCAAACTGGGTGGAGGAGCGGCTTGATCGAGCAGTGGCTTCGCTAGACTGGATGGATATTTATGAGGATGCGGAGGTACACAATCTGTTAACCTTCGAGCCGGACCATAATGCTATTTTTATGGACTTGGATTCACGGCCGATTCGGCGTGCTGGGAAAGCCTTCCGATTCGAGTCAGCATGGCTATTGGAAGAGGGATGTGGCAAAGTAGTGGATACGGTGTGGCGACAGTCTTCTGGCATGGATTTTCAGCAACGATTAAGTTTGTGTGCGACGCATTTGGGTCGGTGGGGAGGGGAGTATAATCAGAAGTTTGGTCGGCGTATTACAATCCTCCGACGTAATCTGGAACAGCTAAGGGATAGCAGAGTTCAAGAGACAGTGCAACAATATATGAAGGCCAAGGAAGAGCTGAATATATTGCTCGACCAAGAGGAATTATTCTGGAAACAGCGCTCTAAGCAACTTTGGCTCAAACATGGTGATTCTAACACGAAATATTTTTACAAGATGGCCTCTTTCAGAAAACGGCGCAACACTTTGTCCCGTCTGAAGGATCCCCAGGGAGTTTGGCAGGAAGGAGCGAATTTGGACGCTGAAGTCCTCAGGTATTACAACTTTATTTTTCAGTCCGAGTACAGTGCAACTACTATGCTTGATAGGGTCCAACCAAGGCTCACCGATGATATGAATACTTTTTTGAGACTACCGTTCGCGGTGGCCGATGTTAAGGATGCTCTTTTCTCCATGGCCCCAGAGAAAGCTCCTGGACCAGATGGAATGACACCGGCCTTTTTCCAACATTTCTGGCCAGTTTTGGGCCATGATCTAGCAATGTTTGTGTTAAATTGTATCTCAACGGGCCAGTTCCCCGAGGGACTCAATGAGTCAAACATAGTTTTGATCCCTAAAAAGAAGACACCAGAGAAAGTCACGGATTTGCGGCCAATTGCCCTGTGCAATGTGGCTTATAAGGTCATTGCGAAAGTATTGGCGAATAGATTAAAAGATGCGTTGGACACGGTGGTTTCGCAGTCACAAAGTGCTTTTGTGCCTAACAGGTTGCTCACAGACAACATAATTGTTGCTGGGGAAGTGGGTCACTTCTTACGGCGAAAAACGAACGGAGCTATGAGGTGGGCAACCCTGAAACTCGACATGGCCAAAGCCTACGACAGGATGGAATGGGACTACTTGAGCTGAATGTTACATGCGCTTGGCTTTGAACGGAAGTGGATTGAGCTATTATTACAGTGTGTCACCACGGTCAGGTATAATATTCAAGTCAATGGGGTTGGGGTGGGGTCAGTGTGTCCAACTCGGGGCATACGACAAGGGGATCCATTGTCCCCGTATCTGTTCATCATTTGTGCCGAAGGATTGTCTATCCTACTGCAGCAAGCAGAGGGAAGTTGAGACATTCATGGGGTTCGAATTGCACGTGGGGCCCCGACCGTGACACATTTATTTTTTGCGGACGATAGTCTGCTTTTTTTTAGGGCCACAAATGAGGAAGCTATGTCCGTCAAGGGATGTCTTGATAATTACAGTGCAGCATCGGGGCAACTTGTTAAATATGATAAGTCTAGCATCATATACAGTTCAAACACGGGGGTTGAGACGCGAGAGATGATTAATGCATGCATGGGGGTCCGCGAGACGTCTGATTTTGGACGCTATCTAGGACTACCTTCGGTTCTGGGGCGTAACAAGTCGGCCACTTTTCGTTATATTGAGGAGAAGGTTCAGGAGCGTTTAGGGACTTGGCAACATCAGATGTTATCGAGAGCAGGTAAAGAAGTCATGCTCAAAAGTGTTGCGCAGGCCCTCCCAATTTTTACCATGTCTATCTTTTTACTTCCAGGACGGCTGTGCGATAGATTAGAAAAGGCTTTCAATCGATACTGGTGGGGCGGTGGTGTGTCAAATGGCAGAGGTGTGCATTGGTTGAGCTGGTCTCGGTTAAGTGTGCCTAAAAGTCGAGGTGGGATGGGCTTTCGCCGGCTACACGAATTTAATATTGCTCTTTTAGCTAAACAGGGGTGGCGTCTACTGACTTCTCCGCACACTTTGGTTAGTCGCCTCCTGAAAGCGAAATATCATCCGAAATGTGAGTTTCTGGAGGCCAGTATTGGACAAAATCCAAGTTACATATGGCGGAGTATCATGGCAGGGCAGAATGTTTTGCGTATGGGCTTAGCTCGTCGCGTCGGGGATGGCAAAGACACAAAGATTTGGGGTTGGCCTTGGCTGGCGGACCCCATTTTAGCTAGGCTGAGTACCCCTCCGCCAGATACTCTACAGGAGGCTACGGTCAGTGGCCTGCTGAATGATACTGCACAATGGGACGAGGAAATTCTCAAAGACCTCTTTGTGGAGTCAGATGTACGTCGGATCCTTGCCACACCTTTAACGATTCATATGCCGGATTCTTGGCGGTGGATGGGCGATATCCGTGTAGCTTACTCGGTTAAACATGGGTATAAACTTCTGACAACTGATAATTTAGTGCATGCACCTGATGATTTCAAAGCTTGGGAGAAGCTATGGGGCTTGCCAGTTCCACCAAAAGTGCATAACCTTATTTGGCGCTGCGCAAGGGGTATATTACCAGTGCGTGAAAATTCAAAGACGAAACATGTGTGGATTGGGGGCGGTTGTCCGCTCTGTGGGCAGGCCGAGGAAACAGCCGAACACCTGCTAGGAGAATGCTGGACTGCGCGGCAGATATGGGAAAAGGATGACATTTTACAAGGGGCATCCATTCCAGTTTTCCTTGACTCAGTTCTATCCAACTCAAGCAAGGAAAGAGCGGTGCATTTGGCGGCTGTTATATGGATGATATGGACTCTGAGAAACGATCGAGTATGGAGGGATAAGGTGTGGGATATTATGGTGGTACGCAGTCACGTGGCTAGACTAATCTCTATGTGGTTGGATGCTTACAAGGTCACCATCCCAGGCATCGGCGGGGTTGTTGTCGGCTGGGAACCTCCTCCACGTTTCTGGCTAAAGTGAAATGTTGACGCCGCTCTTCTGGCTGATTGTGTGGGCTTTGGAGCGGTGATACGGGATCATGGGGGTTGGTTCATGCCAGCAAAGAATGGCCGGCTGGTCTGCGATCGGGATCCTTTGTTGGCAGAGGCTTGTGCTGTTAAGGAAGCTCTATCTTGGATTCGTGATCTAGGCCACGACCATGTAATCATCGAAACCGACTGTTTACATTTTTGCAACGCGTTTAATTCTAGCTCTTTAGATTTTTCTTATGTTAATTCTATTGTAAAGCAATGTTTGGTACTTGATAATGGCATTGGAACCGTTGTGGTTCGTCATGCCAGGAGATCAGCGAACCATGTGGCTCATGTTCTTGCACGGGCAACTGCTTCTTCAGCTGACTCGAGTGTGTGGTCTTTTGTACCTCCGGATTGTATCGCCAGTTTAATGATTTAATGATACGTGTTCTTTTGTTTCGAAAAAAAAAACAAATTAAAGTATGAACTTTCATATGCATACAATATTATTAAATAAATAATATCAATATATATATATATATATATATATATATGTATATATATATATATATATATATATATATATATATATATATATATATATAGTTTACTTGAGTGCATGTGACCATGCAAAGAGTAAAAGGATACACATATACATTCCATGCATACTGCATGCATAACCACACCAAATCAACAAAGCATATGCCCGTCGATTTGATGGACACCGAAAGCATTGATTCGTTTAAAACTAACGATTCGTTAACACCAACGAATCATTAAACTTCGGTTTCAAAAAATTTTTCCCAACTTACTTTCTACCAAACTAAAATAATATTTATAACTCCACAACTCCAAATATTATTTAAGATTTCATGGTAGTCCGTCTGAAACATTAATCTCCATTACTATATAAATTTCCAACAATGAATATATTTTAGGAATTGTATTTAGGTTTTGGTTCGTTTTAGAAATAGAAATGACGTAAGCATTCAAATTATAGAAATACCCATATAATAAAAGATATTTATTTTCAAGGATATCATATTTTTGAGAATTGTATTTTCAAGAATTTATAAACTTACCAAATGATGGAATAAGCATACTCATAGGAATTCTATACCATTCTAAGCATATTCCATGAATTAAACGTGTTGTTAGTCTTTTAGATTCATCATGTGTGTTTTATTCTTCTTTTTTTAATCTTTCATTATGGTTTTTAGACCCAGGCAAACCATAGAATTGGGAAATATAATCTGTACGAATAAGATGTTAGATAGCTAGTACCATTTCCGCGATGTTAGATAGCTAGTACCATTTCAGCCTCTTGAAATTGTGTCTTTGATATTTGGTTAAAGTTAAATTATGGGTTTCTCAAATATATATATATATATATATATATATATATATATATATATATATATAAATATTTACGTGTATGTGAGTTTTTATTGAGATAAAATTATATTATTATATATGTAACACCCCCAAATTTTAAGTATAGAAACTAAAGAATAAAAAGAAAATATTTCTCAAAATATGCGGAAGCTAAACCAACACGGGGTGTTATGCCACACTTGGGTTATTCTAAACCCAAATGCACAGGCTATAAAGTTTCTATCTACAATCCAAATACAAGGTGGAATAATCCGATTACAACTAACTATAAAACAGTCTAAGTTCTAATCCATTCAACTATACCATAAGAAATTCTCGGGTTGCAAATTCTATTACAAAGCGTACGAACTCTACACCGCGCTCTCAAAGCAAGCCACTAATTTCATCTCCTAAAAACAAAAGATTTAGGAAAAACACAAACAACAGAATTAGCATAAAATGCTAAGTAAGCTCTACTCCGCGCTACAAAATAAATACATTTATAATTCAAAAATAGTTATACTTTGTCAATAAATTTTGAGACTTGAATAGATCACCATTTATAAAACATTTAGTCAAGTATTCTTGACTCACACCCAAAAATAGGTATTATATCCTTTCTCAAAATAATTTTCCCAAAAGTAGGTTAGGCACCAACCCATACACACTCTAGTCAGAAAAACACTACATTTTATACAAGTTAATAGAGATCCAAAATAATAATACTTAGCACTTCCCAAAATGGTATAACTAATACATAGTCATTCTTTCTCATTTTCAAAATAAACATAAGTATAGAGGATTCGAAGTAAGCTTTCTCACATAATACTTTAAAATACAATAATCATTTATATAAACCATCATCTCTCATAAGCATTTCCAAGGTATACATAATATAGATATGGAGTAACTCATAGCAGCATATAGTTTACTCATCAAGTGCTCATCTCAAGACATAGATATTCTCAAATAATCATTTTTAGTATAGACTTGCTCATAAGCCTTTCATAAACATATATATCACTAATCATAGGTAGGGATGAATTCAAATTATATTTCTCAAATCATTTCTCCAAGTATCACATATACATATGGAGGAATATCATAACCATCACTCACGAGATTTCACATATCCATATACTCTCATATATATATGGTGAAAGGGACGAAGGGTCTTAGATCAACTAAGCCCTAGCGACACGGTAATCCACTCTACCGGCCACTCCACAAGTTTGTCCCTTTCGTGGGATAAAGGACTAAAACCTTAAGTGTGCACACCCCCTAATGGGGTCCTCCACCCAAAAGAGTAGTAACTAGTCCAAGTAGCCCAGGATGTTTTCTACCAAGCTACTCCACATATAATAGGTATCCAGGATGTTTTCCACCAGATACAAATTCATCAAAATAGGGCCGGAGCCCTCACTAGGACCAAAGTCCACAAATCCACAATCATCCATCATATTCACATATCCTCCAAAATAAAAATAGTTATTTTCCTCCAAAACAAATATAGTTATTTTCCTTCAAAATGAGAAGTTATCCAAAAATTGATTTTCATAAACATTATCATTTGCCTGTAGGCTATTCAAATCATAGTTTCCAAAACATCATAGGTTCAAGTAATAGATATACATTTTCAAAATAGCGTTTATATCATACATAGGATTCATCCTCCAATTATAATATAATTTATATCTCTCAAAATAGATATATTCTCACACTCATATACTTCTCTATAATACACCCAATATATAAATGTCCACATATTCATAATTTGTAAATCATAGGTTAACACCACAATATACACATTTGTTATTTAATTTATCACACTTTTAAACCAGAATATATTTCCAAGATAATTTAAGAATACAAATCAGATAAATAACCCGTTTAGGGCAAAATAGCTTTACACGGACATAGATACTTACCTCAAGCTGAGCTCCAAAAGTCAATACCCGATATAGGCTCAATCCCTAAGCTAGCCACTTTAACGGGACCCAACTATCAAAGATAACAATTAAAACTATATTATTAAAAGCTAATGAATAATTCGAACTCTAGACTTCTCAAAAAGACATACGCAAGCCTTGCCAGTTGAACTGATTCACTTTTGTTAACTCGTCATCATAAACATTTATCCATAATTAAACCCCATCATCATCTACACCATAATCCATCGTCCATCATCACCATTAATTAACATAACATTAGCATATTACTATCTGTAAATACCCTTTATAAATAAATATTAGTTACCAATATCCCTAAGTCCATCCTAATCCAATTATTGCATCATCATTAGCTCAATATCACATCACCATCATTAATCAACGCAACCACACCATTAATCCCCTAATCACCATTATTATCTCTTAATCACCCTTTTTAACCCATCACTAATATTATCTAATCATCATCACTTAATAGATAATATTAGTTGGTTGTTGGATTGTTCTAGTTTGTTGCTGATGAGGGTGAGGATGGCTAAGGACGGAGGTGTTGTTGCCACTATTGATGGAGAAGATGAGCTACGATGGGGAGAGACACTGAATAGGCTGGCTGTTGAGTGGAATGGAGGTAGTGAACAGTGCATCATACTACATATAGCTAGGGTTTTAGGTCTCCCAAATCAGATTTGGGGTTATTATGTAAAATGTGTAAATTGGGTCAAAGTTTGGGTCCGGAAATTGGGTCATAAATATTTTTGAGTTCAAATAAAATCATTTAGACTAGGAGTTTAAAATCATTTGGGTTAAGGGAATTGGTACAAGTAAAATGGCTTTCCGGGTTCGTCTCAGATAGACTTTTGGGTCAAAATTTTAGGAAATAAATATTTCTATAAAATAGAATTTATTTCAAACCATAAATAAATATATAATTATTTTATACTAAATAATTTTGGAAAGAGTTTAAAATATTTTATTTACTCGTTTAGCCAAGAATCACCGTAGGAATAAAATAATTTTATTTCGAAACTTTCTAAAATAGAAAATTATGAGGAAAAAAAATTTTGGGTTGTTACAATATATATTGTTTATAAATTATTTATGTGAAAAGAAAAGAAATTACATACTCCATATCTATTTTGAATATCAATGGTTTTTTCAAATAATATATTCTAAAGATGTTTTACGAGGTGAAGCGAATCTAACTTAGTTTTTTGCTCATTTTGGATGTATCTTGTTTTCTTCACATCATCGCATATTAGTTACCTTGGGCCGGGGTTGTATTTTATTTGAGAAATCAAATATTGTATAAGTTGTTTATACTTTTGGTGTTGTTAATCTTTCTGAAATTTATGTGGAAATGACTGATTATCTTACTGAGGAAACTCATGTGTCATAATCTTTCTAAACTGCTGATTAGTGAGTTTACTGCAACCTTTTTGAGTCGATCCAACCAGTCCAAAGCACTACAAAGTCTTTATCAGAGGGACATGCCGGCCAGAGGTTATCAATAACTTTAATGGACTTAAGGCAAAACCTGAATCAATACTGACCTAAGTTCAAAGTATGTGATCCTACACCGGTTGTCCACATACAACTAGATCCCCTCTGCTCATCATTACTCATTGACCAAGGAACTAGCTGCATTTCTGTATCATATTGAGGGGGAGTAATTTCTAGACAATTGGTTACTTTTATTTGGATACTTATTTGCTTACTTGGTTTACAGATCATACCGCACTATTTTACGTGCGTTAGTTACTTGGATGTGTAAAGTTTGAACAATTGTCCTTTGGAAAGGACTTTATAATCTGTGTTTATTTTAGTAACTGCTCTTTGTGTTTATTGTTTGGTTTACTTGTATTAGTTTTAATTGAGTTGTTTTGACAAATAATAACCAAAGGGGGTGTTTGTTTGTGTTTAAATGTTGTAAACCTCAACTTATAATTGACTTTATTATTATGGAAAATCATATAAGTTAGGTTTAGTGTCAGTTAGTATGCTAAGTGATTATGTGACAGAATAGACACTACATCAGAGCCTTGGAAACTAGCCGTTGGACTACACCGACTTATCCGAGATTACCTGGCAGAGCAGTTACTTACACCACTTGAGATTATTTTACAAGAAAGTCCTTATCTCCTAATATACCTCAAAGGGTAAGACAGTAATCTTCTACATGAAATATCTTTAAGATTACTTGTCTTACAAGAGTCATAGATATACATACATATATAAAGAGATGATTCAAGATTATAGAGACAATAACAAGAAATGATATTCAACATCTGAATCACAAAAAACTCTCTCTACACTCTAAGAACGACCACTATGACATATCTTTTTCTTAAGCCTTTATGATATGATCGAGTTTAAGAAGAATATTGAAAAGAAACACTTTGAAACTGAATCAATGGATCGTATTCTATGAAATTTTGGTACAGTGAAGAGCGAGTTAGCGAGACAGACAACACTAGTGTAGCTCTCCAAGAAGGGACTTCTTGGACTACTGTTCGCACAGATCTCCGCCCTCGGCAATCTACTATAGCCTCTACATATTGGGTTACTACCGTGTGTGACAAACATTGGGTGAGAATGGTTTTCTCCTACCTTCTATATGAATGGCTGATGAGAGCATGAATTGGACGCACCGATGGTGGTCCCCCTTACATAAATACGAATTCTAACGAACTGGGTGAACAATACCTTTTGTCATCTACTTTCTGCATATTTTGATTTCCGTAATTAATCGTATATTGTTGCAATAACTGTTAGAACACACGTTTAGGGTTTTGCGATAAGAACGATCTGTTAATTTGTTAAGTCAAAAAGTTAACCAGAGTTATAGAATATTACGGATACACGAAATCACAACAGTTGTGGGGTGTTGATAGTTGGGGATGGATTAAGAAGGGAGATGGTAGTAGGAATTAATAAATAAGTCATGGTGCTTAAAAACAATATGATTATACTATAGGAAAATGTGAAATAGCGATTGTTGAGGTAGGTAGGTGGTGGTTGATGGTTTTGGTAGGTGGATGAAAGTATAAGAATATTTAAAATAAGTGAAGTGAATGTGTATAGGTTAGTAAAGATAATGTTTACTATAAAAGATGTGTTGGAAGTAGGCAAGGTTGGCCGAGTTCAGCCCCTGCTCGATTCGAGACGTGGCGTTGTGGCTTACGTACCATGTAGGGATGTGGTTAAATGGTCAATGTCTACCTACATATCACTAATTGGATTTAAGTAGGATATAGTAACCAGATAGCCAAAGAACTCTGTAGTTAAGCGTGCTTGACTTACAACAGTCCTAGGATGGGAGACCCCATGGGAAGTAAGCATAGTGTTGTGCTGAGATTCACCAATTCGTATCAAAGGTGAGGTCACGGGTTCAAATCGATGGCGAGGCAAAAGCCGAGTCCAGTCCTAGATGGGATGTGGGTATAGGATGTGCCAAGTCCCGTCCTTGGAGGGGAATGATGGGCCCAAAGGCTAATGACCGAGTCAGGCATGATGCGTAACTGGGCCGGGGCTTGGTGTTCAAAGGTTGCGGTAGGTGTTAGGAGGGGTATTTTTGGGCGTCGGCCGAGTTTAGCCCCTACTCGATTCGGGACGTGGCGTTGTGGCTTACCATGGAGGGATGTGGTTAAATGATTAAAGTCCACTTACTTATCACCCATTGGTTTTAAAGAGGATATGACAATCAGATAGTCAAAGAACTCTGTAGTTAAGCGTGTTTGGCTTACGCCAACTGTCACATGATGGGTGACCACTTGGGATGTAAGCATAGTGCAACTATGAGATCCATATTTCTTTACAAAATTTCTTGCGAATATAGGGAAGGACCAAAGTTCAATATAAATAAACAATCAATTTTTTTTCTTGTTCAGACAACAAAACGAATTGTAATCTAAGACACAATCAATATGTCATTCACTACTCCGACCTCCTAAGCGCTATATGTCATAACCAAAATTGAATCAAGATATAATCATGGAGATCATTGAAAGGCTGCTTTTGAAGTCTCTATTCCAATTTAGGCGTGTTTCCAAATCTTGGCGTGCTTTGATATCATCTCCAAAATTTGCCAAATTGCATCTAAATTTTCATTGCATTCTAAAGTATATAATATGTCCCTGACATATAGTAGAGTAAATCAAATTAGCTATATGCCATTGTTTTCTCTAATAGAAAGCAAGCAATTATCATTTCACAAGCTTATTAAACATGGCTACTCACTCTTAAGTTCCTAGAGCTGGTTTCGAATTTTTGGGTTTTTAGAATGGACTCTTTTGTTTTCGTGAAAAATTGTATAAAATAATAATTTGGAACCCTTCATCAAATGGAGATCTCAAGACAAACCCATACGTCTAGCAGTTGGGCAACATGAGCATATTTGGATACGACGAGCATAATGACGACTACAAGGTTGTTTATGCTTATTATGCTAACTATGGTGATGAAGAAGTGGTTTTGGTGTACAGCTTTAAGGATGGGTCATGGAAAAGAAGTGAAAGGGGGTTTAGTAGTGTGTTTGTTAATCCCAAAAATGTTGTGTTTGTGAGTGGTAGTCTCAACTGGTGCAACAATAAGTTAGATAACAGTGACTGGAATTGGAACATAATTTCTTTTAATATAACCACTTAAACTGCCAAAGCTATAGTTTTACCCAACCATGAACATGGGGCTGCCAATTGTATAAGTGCATCAAGAGGATTGCTTTTTGCAGGTTTCCATTATAAATGTCAAATGGAAGTTTGGGTAACGAATGAGTATGGAGTTGAAGAATGTTGGACTAAACTAGTCTACATTTGAAACTTACCAATTCATCATCCACTTACCCGGGGTTTAGAGAACACCGCATGCATGACTGTGTAACGCTAAACTCTCAGTTGCACATGTTTCTAAAGATGGTGATCATGCCCAACCATCATTAGAATATCACCATTTTTTAGAAACATGTGCAACTCAGAGTTTAGCGTTACACATAGCCATGTATGCGGTGTTGTCTAAACCTCGGGGAAGTGGATTATGAACTGGTAAGTTCAAA